GGCTGATAAGTATTCTCTTATTTATATTCTTTTGCTAATATAATTCATGAATATAAGACATAACATAACAGAGGTAAACCTCTCAATGCTATACTACTTAGTGTAGCTTGTTAGCTCCTGTGATCTTATTGCGCACACAGAAAAAGAAAAAAAGATAACTAATTCTACGAGATAGTTCCCTGCCTTTGTTTTCAAAAATACTTTAGCCAATATGCTGGTGCTGACTAATCATTCTATGTTGAATAGTGAATATTAGAATATGGTAACTCTGCATCTGTTTGGAGCTTTAGACGCTCAAGGTCTGCATTCTATTGAGTATTGAGTCACTCATGGAACAGTAATTTAACTGCAGAAAATAATACAGATGACCTACAATACGTTATTTTCTGAAATATCACAGTTCATAAATTCTTATTAGATTCTGAGTACCCATTAATCATATAATATTATTCCTGTAAACAAAATTTAGATATGCATGATCAAATCAAATTCACATGATGGACAGAATTTGAACCGTCATATAGATGTTTAGTTTAGAGTTTGAACAAAAAGCAAACGGAATCCCGTTATGTATCTGGACAAGCATCGTAATTCATAAAGACCAAAACAGATGCAGCATGTGGTGCTATGATGTATTTTCATGTACAGTTTGTTCTGTGACCTAATCTGGGCTAATAGGTTCAGTTTTCTTGAGGATAGCTAACTATTTTACAGTTTTGCAACTTAATAGTTCAAACCATTCTATTTCTATCAGGCTGCATTCAACTTGATGGTCTTAACTTTTCCAGGTATTTGTGTAGGCACTAGATTATTGTCATTCACGCGGTATAATGCACCGAGATGTCAAACCCCACAATGTCATGATTGACCATGAAAAACGCCAGCTTCGTCTTATTGATTGGGGTCTTGCAGAGTTCTATCATCCCAAGATGGAATATAATGCTAGAGTTGCTTCAAGGTCAGCTGCCCTGCCCTGGCTTCGAAAATTGGCTGTTCTTGGACTTGTTCGGCATTATATTAAAAATATTTTATTTGTCCAAATATTCATGATAACTGTTACTATTAATAAACCATGAATATTTTGTTGATCCAATGACCTCACCCATTCTATGTTCTTCTAGTAGACCTGTAACTCACAATAGGATTTTGATTCATCGTTATATTAGTTCTGGTTCATCTCTTTGTTTAGTACTAAATTCATGTTAGATTTATGTTATACCCAGTATATAAATAGTAAATTATTGTGTAGCACTGTTTCTTAAAAAACATCTGTTTAAAAAGGCGATGCCTAGGCGCTAGCCGCTAGGCAGTGCACTGCCTCACCATCGCCAAGCACCTAGGTGTTTTGTCTAGGGTTGACTTCATGTATGTTATTAAAAAATGGGACAAATTAGGGATGAAGAAAGATAAACTACAATCATATTCTTATAGATGCATGGTAATATCATTTTTTTTCTCCTGTTCTGATATGCTAAATTTCCTATATCTAGCATGGCAGTACTCTGACTGGCCACAAAAGAACAAACGCCTAGCAATGACTAGAAATGCCTAGGTGCTAGGCAGAGCCTAACCACCTGCCTAGCTCCTAGCGCTTTTTTAAACATTGAAAATATATTACTCTCTAGTTGCCTCTCGTTGCCTCTCTCCCCTTGGTTTACCATGTCCTTTTGCTATTTACAGATGCTACAAGGGTCCTGAACTACTTGTGGATTTGTTAGATTATGATTACTCTTTAGATTTGTGGAGCCTTGGTTGCATGTTCGCAGCAATGGTAAGTGGCAAGACTATGATCAATTAGTTATCTTGGCTAACAGACCTGTGTTGATGTGCTATATGGTCCTAACAGATATTCCGAGTGGACCCTTTCTTTAGTGGCCAGGATAATTATGATCAATTAGTGAAAATAACTGAGGTAAGTTTGAAGCTGCTCTGTGTTGAAACTTGTTGTCATCGTGTTTTTCTGTATCACTTAATCTAGTGCTTTAAATGGAATAATGCAGTGATTGCAAGCCAGCACAAATTAATTGGTTCATGTGAAATTATTGTTTGCATCTGCTATGTCTGCTTTAGAGTCATCCTAGAGTTGATGGCAAGTTCATATGTTACTTTGACATCTTTTATTTGGACCTTAATAGCATACTGTCATAGCCTAGGTTGTACAGAAAGTTGACTGAATGTAAACATTACTAAAACTAGCTTATTGTGTATGGTTGATTTATGGATACTGACATATCAGTGGCACGTATCACCATGCATATTTACTGCAAAGTTTATATATTTATAAACAATTACTAGTCCAATTTTCATTAGTGATGGCTAGAGTATTAAAAAAATGTCTAGATGTTGCTGTATCTTCTATGTACTGCCTTTGTGTTCATTGCCATTATTGCATCATCTCCTTGTGTTGCTTTTGAGTTCATTGTGATTGGCTACCACATCTTGTATATGTGGTGCACCACAGTTGCAGTTGTGATTGAATACACCCTAAAGATGCTAAACCTAAACCCTAGCCATTTTAGCTGTACAATTTCCTCTGATCCTCTGCTCCTGCATTTCATGAAGAAATGGTTGTTTGAAAGCATTTTTAATGTCTTATTTGTTTGTATGATACATGCAATACGTGTTACTGTTCTGCAGGTTCTTGGCACAGGAGATTTGTATGACTACCTTGAAAAATATGGCCTGCAGCTTGACCCACAGCTTGAAAGACTTGTTGGAAGGTCATTGTTTTGGAGTTCGGATAATCTTGTAGACTATCATGATCTTTATTTTGGATGTTCTAATTATGTTTTCGTGGCTACAGACATAATAGGAAACCATGGCCCAAGTTTGTCAATGCTAGGAACAGACACCTTGCGACACCTGAGGTGACTCTTGTTGCCTTTTGATAACTGTAGCCTACTCCCCATTTCTTGTTTTTTTACACAAGTTTCTACCTTTTACAGGCTATTGATTTGGTAGATAAACTCCTCCGGTATGATCACCAGGAAAGGCCTACAGCCAAGGAAACCATGGTACCTCTCTGGCCTACATTCTTGACGGAAGTTACTGGATGAGTATGCCATGCATATAACTTCAAAACTAGCTTATGCTAAAAACATCTATTGATGTTTGCAGGCTCACCCGTATTTCAATCCAGTAAGAAGTTCCGAAAGCAAGATAAATTTATAATAGCTAATTAGCTATAAGATGCACAAAGGTGCACATTCTTTTTTCTTCCCCGAGTGGCCCAATACTGTCATGCAAGGCAAATGGCATATTTGACGGTCCTTTTGAACTGGTGCAAAAGATGTAGAGAAATACTTGATTTTAAGGCAGGTGCATGGTTTGTTCAGCATGATGTCTTGGTCAGCATGTAATGTAAGTGCCAATTTTTTGTGTGTGAGTTAATTCCTATTCTCTACTTGCCGTTCTAGTGCGAATAATTTATTTCACCAGTTTGCTTGAACACCACATGACTGATTTATATGGTCATTATTTACCTAAATCACATTTCAATGTTAACGGATTCTTTTTGCACCCTCTACCAGGGTAGTCGCCTCAGTTAAATTGTTAAAAGTGTTCAGATTGTGTCAGTGACGATGTTTGCTTGGATGGAGGAGAATTTTGAGGTAGCTCACCGTCGTTACTGCCTTTGCAAGCACTAGTTTCTCTTCGTCTTTTCTAAGGCTGGGGCGAATTCTGTTTCCATGGCCCTCGCGTCTCCTTTGAGATACGCAGTGGAGCTTGATTGGGTCCTACTCGTAGCTGTAACAGTATCCGACATTTCGAGACTCGGTCAAAAGTGAACTTAGCCAGTGATCAATTCGAAGTTGTTGACCTGCCGTAAGCCAAAAGTATACCGAAGTTGTTGTTCTGCCGTATGCCAAATATACCGAGTCAGCGGGGAATTCCAAGTTGTTGACCTGCCGTGAGCCAAAGCCCAAAAGTATAATCTCACCGAGTCAGCGGGGAATTAACAGCACCGCTCGTTCGATGTTCATATATATAGGAAAATTACGAACCAAGTCACCGCACCCGCTCATTCAATATTCATATATATATGGGGTTTAGGAAAACTACGAACACAAAGTCAATGTCCGGAAGAGATAAGGGCTGCACCCGCTCATTCAATAAAAATAAATTACATATCTATCGGGTTGACCCGTAGCACATGGGGTTTAGGAAATTAATTAGGCTTACGAAACACACAAGGCTTTGTTTACAATGTCCGGAAGAAACATCCATAAATCATTTAAAACTGAAACCAAACCCACTAAATCACGAACTGACCCAGGCCCCAACGCTAAATCATGCTCCGAAGTCCCAAGTGTTACTAGAACGATTACAGTGAATAGTCTGACGCAGCAAAAGACGATCTTATCTCAGTGGGAGCTTTCAACCCATCCGGTTCATTATCGAAGTCATTTGTTTTGATCGCCCTGTTTCTGGCGTGTGACCATACTGAATTATCGCCCCACAGCCCCAGGGGCCAGGGCAGCAAGCAGTTCTCACTTCTCACCTAAAAAATCTGAGCAGCTTTCACCTTAATCATCTCGATCTGGTTTGGTCGGTAACCGTCTAAGCTTGCAAGTACGTGTTAACAGCCAGCAAAGGATAACAAAAAAACTACTAGCGGTTTCCAAAGCTTTTAGGAACAAAAGTATATCATTGGTACAGGTTGTAATTCAGAGGAACCAGAAACATTAGTAAGATCGCTGTTGCAAACAAAAAGGAACATGTGTTCAATTCTAAATTGCTCCATAATTCTATATAGTCAATACATGACAACGGAAAATGCCAAAAGATGATGACAGTGGATGTGCTTGGGCACAACTTATGCCACCATACTGGCCTCAAAACGCATGCTGATCCTGCTACAAGTTTCCCAGTGTAAATTAGTCCGCAACCTAAACTGACTATAAGCTCTCCAATTACAAACATAAACAGCCGGCCAAGCATTACTGCCACTTGCAGGAGGATTCAGCCTATACCCACAATGGCTCCCCCAGATATGAAGATTAGAAACCAAAGAAACCAAGCTCAGTCGCCCTTTCCTTCTCGAATGTCTCAAAGTACTGGTATATGATTGTGACAGCGAGCAGAATACCAGTTCCTGAGCCGATTGCACCCATGAAATCAGCTAGAACAGTCAACGCACCAATGCACACTCCACCAAATGCTGCAGCAGTTGGGATGTATCTGTTCAGTTCCTTTTGCAGGTTTGACTCACGATGACCTGGCATCACCATTTGTTGTTCCTGTTGAAATGCCAGGGTAAGGGTTTACAGGTCACTCTAGCATGAAAATCTTGTATTTGAAAAATATCGCCTTATTAACACTAGTAGTCCATATCCTGCAGCTTACTAATAACCATGCAAGGGTATCCATTTGTGTGATAATTTTAAATTCATAATATAAGTTAAAAAAAGCAGACAAGCGAGGCAGCGTGTGTTTTGATGGTAATAATGTTGGACAAAGGTCATGACATATAAACTATCATACAGGGCAGGAACAGTGACTCAGGGGTCCGCGGGGCAGTGGGGTTGCTATCCATTATTTTTACCTTCAGCTGCTTAGCAACATCCTTCGCTGATGAACCAGAAACTTCAATCCATGTCTTTGAGAAGAGAGCACAGGCTGACAGCATAAAGACCACATAGAACAATGCATGGAATGGATTTGCCAGAACATCAGCCAAGCTGCAAATTCAAACATTTGAAGCTCGCATCATTAATAGTTCATTCAATGTTAACAAAATCATAAGCAAAGAATCATCAAAGAGAAGGCAGTAAAATAAAAGAAATTAATTATTCACCTTGATGGTGCAGTCACATAGTAAGCAAGACCACCAACAGGAACAGAATGGCCAGAGTACTCAGATTCCTTCCATTTCCCAAGAAGGTTAACAAGGAAATTTCCACTGTATTTCCTGTAGAGAAGCTGCCATAGAAACATTTTAGTCCTTGCACATTCATGCAAAGATCAATTGTAATGCAGCACTGGAAGCTGCCACAGAAACATTTTAATCCTTGCATGTAAAGATCAAATGTAATGCAGCACCAGAATTGAAGTACATACCTGGGATATGAAATAGAGGTTGGTAATCAGTGCAGAGTGCAGAATGATAGGCATGTTGGAAGTGTAGAACAGCTTGATTGGGTATGAGCCTTGTTGACCACGAGCATTCTTTGACCTCACTGGAAGCACAACACGGAAGCCTTGGAAGTAGATAACTATGAGGAAGACCAAGACAGTAGCAAGTAAATTGGTCACATTTGGAAGATTCTGACGGTAGAAAGCCTCGCGTAGAGCACGGACTTTATCAGTTCGAGTAATCAACAGATGGAACAATGCAATGACTGCCCCTTCAAATTCAGCACCACGCCCACTGTTGATGGTTGTTGGGCTAAATGCCTTCCAGATGATATTCTCACTACATGGGAAGGGGGGTTTACTGTAAGCTAGCATGTACAGAATAGCAAATCAATGAGTGGTGGCATTTAATATGCTTACCAGATATTAGTAGCAATGAACAGAGAGATACCAGACCCCAAACCATAGCCTTTCTGTAGGAGTTCATCTAGACAGATGACAATGATACCAGCAAAGAAAAGCTGAAGTATAATGAGAATAGCATTCCCAGTTCCAAGTTGGCTCACACTGCCATACATTCCAGAGAGAACATATGCCACAGCTTCTCCAATAGCAATCAGGATACCAAGCAACTTCTGCGCACCATTTCTGAATAAAAAGTACACTATGCATCACGAGAAAATCACCAGACACGAGAATAAGAACCATAAAGCTTTGCAGTTCTCAATGGCATTCAATTGATAGAAGGATGGATATGCAACATAGAGTGTAGCATGTCCATATAAGGAAAGTATCCACCAGTAGATATAGAAGTAAACTTGACGTCTATATTATTCAACAATACTTACAGCAGAGCACGATCCTCCCTCACACTGTTGTCAACTTCAATAATCTTTTATCCCACTAGAAGTTGCACCACCATTCCAGATGTCACAATTGGAGTGATACCCAGTTCCATAACAGTACCACGGTTTGAAGCAAGAATAACACGCATCCAGTAGAAAGGGTCAGCACCAGTAGTTGAATGAATGCCATAGAGCGGGAGCTGACTGCAGACCAGGAAAATGAAGAGAGAAATGACCGTGTAGATCACTTTCTCTCTGAATGGTATTTTCCTATCAGCACTCTGTACTTCTGGCAAGAAAGCCAGAAATGGCCTCACAAGATGCAGTACTCGAAAACCGCCAGCCATCTCTCTATATTAAAGAAGAGATATTGATCAGCATTATGTACAATGTGCACCAAATCTAGTAACATAATGAAACCCTGCCTACTCTATTGTGTGGTCACGATTCTGATGAAAAAGATGCATCCATCCATTATAGGTAAAATATAAGCAAGCCTACCAAAATACATGTAAATGCAGACAAAGGAAGAGTAGCACAAGAAAATGAAAACCAAAGCTAATATAACCATCAAACGCGTAATATGGAAAATGTGCAGAGAAAAATAAATTCTTGCATTAATTTGCCATTTAACCCACTCATTTCCTTGTAGTGACTTGATCGATGAAATTCAGTATAGAAAAGCGATTTAGAGAGCTGTACGTAAGTACCTAACTGCACAAAACGAAGAAGTGAATTTGTGGTACCTATTGTTGCCAACACATCTAGAAGGCCAGGCAATTTGCATGATACGGGAAAAAAAATTGTTATAATCTTCATCGGTGAATTAGCTTGAGTCCCAAACGTAACTAAACTCTAACTACAATCTGCATGACGGTTCTGCCTGACACACGGAATTAACAAAAGGAAACTACCCACAATTCAAACATCAAACACACCACATATAACGTGGCCTCACAGCTCACATACTATACAAAAACAGGCGCGGATCAAAATTCTACAGAACACACCGACCAAGTAACTGTATATGGACCCTAGATTCGTATATGGATCTGGACGTTGCGCCTACTAGCTCAATCACATAAAAGAATGTCGAATCCTTCGAAACAAAAGCCGGAACCACATGATACGCTTCTAAACTTCACGCCCACAGATCTCGGAGAGACCCAGGGTGTACACATGTACACCCGATAATTTTTGAACAAAATCGGAGTTCGTAACTGGATCAGATCCGATCGGAATACAAGTACCTTAAGCTAGGATCTGGGTGCTCGGTTTCACAGCAGGAACGGAAGAGACCGGGTGGGGTGGGCTGGGCGTACCTGTTGGGTGCTCGTCGCCGGCGAAGAGCCTGAAAGACAAACCTGCGCACCTGGCTTAAGGCGGCGGCGATCGCCCAGTCGTCGCCGCTAGAGACAGAGCGCACGCGAGGGACACGGGAGAACCACGATAGAGACAGAGGGTGGAAACGGGAGCCAAACGGGAGAACAAAGGCAGGGGGGCGGAGGCCCACAGTTAAGCTGGAGGCTGCCGCCGATCTGGTAGTAGTTGGAACAGTATGCTGTTGAAAGAATCAGGTTGTTGTTGGGCCAGAAGTTGTGTGTGCAATCGCTCCCAAGTACAGTTAGATGGGCCAGTGACAGGAGTACCCCATACACGAAAGCCCAAGAAGAACTTCTATATCCTTCAAGACCGTTGGGCTTGGTAGCCTAGGCTGGGTGGCTCGTATATTAATGGACAGGAGGGCAGGACGAGGGCCTGTTTGCTAGAAACTTGCCTCGCACAGAAAAGTTGGCTCGGAGGCAGCATCCAAACAGCCCCTTAAGGCACTGTTTTTCCTCAAAAAAAAAAGTTAAGGCATTGTTTGGCACGGCTTGGAATACTACCATGTGCTGAGCAGTAAGAGGAGATGAAGCTAAAATAATGATTCTATCGACTTTTAGTTCAGAGGAGAAAAAAGTTGCTTCTCGTCACCGTGCACGAATTAAGGAGTCACAACTGCATTCATCCGGAGCTCTGCCAAATGGGACCTAATTAAGTTGATGCAACCGATATTGTTTGTTTTCATACATACTAGCACATATATCCACGTGTCATAACTGGAGAAAAAAAATCTGACATGTCTAAACCCAATAAATTTGGTATAAAACAATTTTTATAGGAATTACACATTGTTATGAAATAATATCATTTGGATAATCTTGACCATTGGGTTATTTTAACAATCAACCGTACCTACCTTTAACTTTTCTATAAGTGTATTTGATATATTAATCTAGAGGGAACTACTTGATGATCGTAACAATCAATGTTGTAGATCTTTCTCTCTTTTTGTCAGATGTGTATGATATGAAATCCTTGGGTTAATGAGGACTAATAAATGTTCATAAAATTAACGATGTAGTTGATTATTTTTATTAACCTTGTAATTTGCAAACCTCTTGTCAGCAAATGTGGTGGTTTTTAACAATATTGTAATAAGATAATAGATAGATCAATCTCACAAAAAGGATCCAATCAAAATCCAATAAACTCCAAATCACATGCAAGCATGATGAACTTAAAAATGCATAAATTTAAATTTTAAGGTGAGAGGAGCGTTGATCTTAGGTAAAGTTGACAAATTGGAAATAAAGCATGGCACATAATTGTGTCTGGGGCAGATCTATATACATGGTTTAATTAAGGGGTGCGGACACACCCACGGAAAAGTATAAAACAGTGATTCTAACTAAGCTTTTATCACTTACTATTTCTGCAATCCTAGCGCCCACAAAGAAACTAATAAGCACGTCGTCCCCTCCAATTGCTTTAGCTCCGTCCCTGAATTATGTCGTTGCACTCCTGATTGATCCTAACTATCTAACCTAGGTTTGTTTCGCTAATGAAAACGCCAGCTCCACACCCATTTCCTTTTGTAACTGAATTGTTGAAAGTAAACTGAAGTTGGATTGGTGATAATAATATACCTTACCCTATGTCCCTATGGCAACTTAAATCGATCGATGATTATGATGTTCTACCTCCATGATATATACCAGTGTACCATAATATCGATCTATAACGACTGCAGTCCCCGGGCCCGGCATCAAAATGAAATTTCTTATTACTGTGTACATACACATCTATCATGGATTATTCATGGCAATGGAAGCTGCCAAAAAGAACCTGAGCTTCAGTGAATGCGAATCCCACACCCTTACACAGTTTGAACTCTTGCTTCCAACACTGTCGACTCCATCGAGGCCAGCGGGGAGGAAAACAAAAACGTCGTCGTACTCAGCCGGCTCGGCACAGCGCCCACCAAACGCGGCCACCTCGACATGGGCCGGTGGTCAGCCGGTGCCCCTCCTGCGCGGTGCCGGGAGCCAACACCACGCGCAGCGATCCACGCGCCCTACCCGCCCGTGGTCCCGGGGCTACTACCTTAGATACAGTATACGTACACGGAAAATTCAGCAAAACACGCGCGTACGGGATGCGCGGCCCTCCTTCCACGCAAGTACGCAACCGAACTGCACGCTCCTCACATGTTGGTCTTGGGCGGCGCATGACCGATCGGCGACGGGAACGACGACGACGGCTGCGCGGTGGCACGCTGACCGACTGGCATCTGCTGCTGCTCGCGGACTCGCGGTACTTGCGTTGCTGATGGATGATGGCTGAGCACAGCTGGAAACCCCCGGCCGGCGCCTCTCCTCCTGGCACGGTAAAGCGCCGGCACCGCGCCAGCATGTGGCCCCCGCCACTTGGATAGACGGAGTACTCGTACGTCCTGCATGTGCATGGGGGTGTCTACGTGAATGCATGCTAGCTGCTAGCTGCCAAACCACCAGTCCCGCCGCGGCCGGCCGTGGTTCAATTCATCGGCGGTGTACAGGTAGCTGCAACCCTGCAACGACAGGACTTTTCACTCCATGTCCATGTTCTGCAATCTGCCAATTCAAGTATGCGGCGTCGAAATCTTTGGTCCTTTTTCTCTGCGAAGCGACCAGTACTTGGGACTCAACTTTTGTGCAATGGGAAAGGCAAAATGCTTTCCTCGTGTTGTACGTAAGATTCTACAGTACGGTGTAGGGCATGCCTGCCCAGCTCTATCTATCGTCGGCTAAGGCCCTGTTTATTTCCCCAGCACTTTCAGCTCATGTGTTTGGTCAAATGGATCTAAACACCTAGGCCAAAAGTGAGCAAAAGAGGGGGCTAAAGTTTAGTCCATTTGCACGTCTTGGGTGCGTGAGGACACGTCTTGGGTGAGCAGGACACCTCATACCCCCACCCACCCCCACCCGCCCCGCCCCACCCTCGATCAGGGCGCGCGACCCTTTCGCAGACCCAGACCTCACGTAGTCCCTCCACCCAGCCGGTGCCCTCCCCCCCCCCAAGCTCCTCCTCCACCGGCGGCGGCGTCATCTCCTCCCTCTTACCCTCCTTCTCCCCTAGATCTCGGCGGCTTCCTCTCCTCCCCTGCGCCCTCCTCCTCCTCTGGATCTCGTCACGGAGCATTTGGACCTCATGGTTTCAGCGAAGCCTCCCCCCTCAAGCACCGCCGACGCTCTGCGCTTGGCTCCCCCCCGTCTGGTCCGCCCGTCGTGGTGGCCGGCCTCACCCTCGGTGTTATTTGTCATCGCCACTGAGGTGTGCGGGTAGGGGAGGTAGGGAGGAAGGGGACGGAGGGGCAAATCGGTAATTTTTTATGGAGGACTAAACTTTTGCCATGGATCTAAACACCTCAAGCAGGACTAAAAGTTTAGCAGCAAAACTTTAGAGGCTAATCTTTTGCCATGGCAAATGGAACTAAATAGGGTCTTAATTAGCCCCTGACCATGCATGCAAGTTCCTCCCAAGTGGCAAGTACTCTGCTACTACTACTAGCTAGAGTTTCCGTTTAAGCTTGTCACAGAAGAATTTTTGTCTGGTTATCGACATGACAGTTCATTATCTATTTCAAATGCTAATACTCCTCCGTATAGGAAATAATGCAATTATAGGAATCGTGCCGGTCAAAGCTCATATTTGACCAAGTTTATAGTAGATAGTATTAGCATTTATGTCTCCAAATAAATTTATTATAAAAATATATTCTATAACTAATGTAATGATATTTATTTTGTCTCATGAATCTTAGTACTTTTTCATATAATTTGTCAAACTTTTGAACTCTTTGACTCATCGAAATATGATAATTGCATTCTTTTGTAGACGGATGGAGTAATAGAGACCGATCACAAGTCACAAACACAATCAACACTACACAGGCAGGAACGAGATAAACTCTCAGAAATCTGCTGTAGCTAGTGCATACGGCCGGGCAGGAATCTTGCATGGGGTGAGAAAAAAGCAGCTAGCG